ACCAGCTCTGCAGATGCATCAGCAGCAGCTCCGCTATCTCTCACCGGGCAGTGCGTCTGTGTGGTACGCACGCCGGTCTGGGATACAGGGCGTTGCTGTTTGCTGGCAGGATGCTACTGGAGGGGGGAAATAGTGCTTTGGTTTTGAACGTTTCTTCCAAATCTTCCTCCCAACCTTATGTATAATAACCAGGAGTGGATAGGGAATTATGTTAATTAACTTAGTTGATAGTCCATTTTAGGTCCATTTAAGAATATGTTAAGGATTCCGCATTGATCAAAGGTAATGGAGTGACATAAAAGTTAGAGTTAATTCAAAGTTCATTAAGGTATTCCGGATAAGATTAGCTAATTTAATCAAATTAGCCCCCCGGGTGCCAATTTAAACCTTTTAAGTATATTATGGAGATACTTGGCTGCTGTCTCTGGGGAAATGAGATGAAAGGGAATAGGCTACATTAGGATAAAGCTCTCGTGCACATTGAAGTTTTTTGTAATTTTCGGGTTTCCATACAGCCTGACACCGATTATCAATTCTATATACGGCTGTTGTCAGTCTGTGTAAACACGAGGAAGGTTTTGTTGAGCTTTCAGGCCCCGCTGTCTCTTTAAAGGCCGCACCTGCGCAGCTGCCTGGTGCTGATGCTGCAGTGCCCGGGTTATTTTCGGTAAAACTGCCGGGGTTACTCGCGTTCAAGCTGGCCCTCCATGGCTTACATCACCCTTGAGAGGAAATCAAAACCATTTTTAGCCAATCGCACCTGCCTTTTAATCAGAGCAATTTAAAACGAGCCCTTCCGTCGCAGCATGAGCAACTTCAGCACAGCAACCTCTCTGTCTCTGTGTGCCTCCGAGCCTCCATGGCTGTATGACCATTTTGTTAGACAGAGACACAGTGCAACACCTAAATACATCATACTAAGCTTAAAGACTGTTTTGGTTTGTAAAAAAATATTATTTTGTTGTCATGTCAATAACTCAGCCTTGGTGTGATCGAGTATCAGTCAGTATGCACAATAAAGACGAATTATTCGTTTCTTGGCTTCGGTAAATGGCCATTTTACACCTTGAGAATGACACAGCCCACAGGGACAGGTGATATGCTACTAAAATATATAATTCAACTTAAAAGGGCAAAGACAGATTGCATAATGTAATATTTGCCTCCAGATAACCTTTCTTTCTCTCTCTGTGGGATAAGCTTGAGTTTGCACACATACATTATCTAAAAACAACCCTTGCATGCCCTGAGAGAACACATAAAGGCAGATCATGAATCAACTCAATGATCATTACGTCAGAGATACCAGTGCTCCCTATTCATAAAGCTCAGATTAATAGTGACTGTGTGTCAACATGTGTGAGGTAAGAGCAAACATAGTTTTAGTGTCAGTATGTGTGAATGTGAATAACTTAACAAAGAGGTCCTTGCAAAGTGACAGGCGGACTGCAGGAATGTGCTATAAATGAGGGTTTGGCCGTCTATAAGTACTGAGTGGGAGTGTTGGTAGACATGAAGGAAGAACATCGTACAGGATGGCACTACGAACAACTGCTCTCCTCTCTGTGGGCGTTCTTCTCTTCTTAGCAAGAGGAACTCCAACAGATGCAGGTGAGAATTTAAAGAGGAAATGTAATGCTCATGTTTTTTGTGTTTCTAATGTGACCTGTCTCCATGCTTCAATGTTCAAAAAGGTCATTCTTTTTCTCCTATACTCATACTTCTCAAAATGCAAGCTTTTTGTATTCTCCGCAGCCAACTTCACCTTAAACGATTTATTTACCCCATGACATAAATTACAGCTTGAACAAATCTGTCTGTCTAACTGTCTAATTCATTGTTTAACAACTATATTATATAAATAAATATATTACATCCCAAGAAGGTAAGGGTCAGTGTGTTAAAGGGCCCTTATTATGTTTATTTTCAGGTTCATATTTGTATTTAGTGCTACGGTGACATGTCTGCATGCTTTAATGTTCAAAATGTCCAATGGAGGTGTTTCAGGCAGAGTGTGGGAGAGGAACTTTGGTATTTTAGCTTTTGCAGACTATTGACATCCCGAAAACCTAACACACTACAGGAAATGGAAACCCCCCAAAATCAGAATATAGCCCCTTGGAGAAAATGTAACCCTTAATGACTCACTTTGTGTTCATGCATTATACAAAGCGTCACCATGCCTGAACCTTTGTGTGCAGGTCCGGCGGCTCTCCCTCTCAGACTGACTGTGGAGAACGACCTCTCTAACGTGACTCCTGAGACCCACTTGTGCTCGGTGGTGGAGGGGGGCGTGCTGCTGGGCGCTCTGAGGAGACTGCAGGAAACTCAGCAGGACTTCAAGTAAGACCCCCCATGACACCCTCTTTAATATCTCTGCATGACATCCTTTAGTATTTTCCTTTCATGGCAGTTTCTACTTAAACTCGACTGAATTTCAAAGGGTGATATCCACTATAACTATTGACAGCGTTATAATAGTTACTAGTTTTTTAAAATATTTTTGCACAGATACCCAGTAACAGTTCATTCAAGCAGCTGACACAATTCATCCATCAATAAGTCGCTTGACAGAAAATCTATTTATATTTATTTTGATATTTGATATTTGAAGAAGTCATTTTGTTGCATTTGAGTTTCCGGATTGAGGGGATTTGCTGCTTCTCCGTTGAATAATATGTACAATCTTTAATGTGTTTTTGAAGAAGCTTGAGGTTTGGACAGTTGGTTAGATATAAACAATGTGATGGTGTCACCTTGGGCTGTGGGTAATTTGTCATTTCTCACTATTTTCAAAATGGATTGATTCATGACGATAAAAAATCAGTGAATAGTAAAAATATTCATTATTTGCAGAAACATTAGCTCAAATATAGATGTTTGAATGGAAACAGTTAATTTTTTTCTACATGGAGTACTTTTAATACTTTAAGTGGACTACATTTTCCTGATTATACTTACATAACGTAACACATTGAATGCAAGACTTGTACTTGCATATAGAATTTGTGTTTGGTATTTATATGTTTACTATAGTTCTGTTGTAGATAGATAGATAAGTACTTTATTGATCCCAATTTGTGAAATGTTTGCGTTGCAGCAGCATAGAAAACAAGGCAATGTACATAAGAGAAATTAAGACACAAGAAATAAAAAATTCTAAAATATTTCTGAAATAGAAATAAAATAGCATTAAAAGTTAAACAAAAATATATATTCATGGATGTGGAAAATATACATGTGGAAATACAACTTTCCAGAAACTAATATAATGCAGGGTATTATTGTGCGAGTAATGGATTATTCAAAATGTACATTGGGAGTTTAAGTCCAGTTGCCCTGACTGTGTGTGTCCTGCAGGTTCTCGGTGAGGCAGGACCCAGACTTCGGCCTGCTGCTGCTCAGTGTGAACGGAGTAGCAGCAGACGAGAGCGAACAGACGTACTGGGAGATCCTGTCAGAAAGCTCCGGAGAGATCAGCCGGCTGGATGTGGGTGAGTTGCATCCCCAGAGATTTCATAAAACACATCTGATTTAATGAGCTGTAATGCGGCAGGAGAGTTGGTTGCGTTTTCACTTATTGTCCCCAGGACGTCCCCTGGTGTGATTTTTCTAAAATAGTAGTGTAGTAGACACAGTTTGACTTTAATATATTTAAGTGATTTTTGTTATTCTGCACAGGTGGTGCAACTATTGGTTATTTTAAAGTGCTTCCTCAGAGTGAAATTATATATCCTCATTATCTTCTATTGGCTATTAATGCAAGAACACTGTTATGATCTGAGCACTTAGTTCCTCTCAGAGTCTGTGTTTGTGTATTCATTAAAACGTCATTGTTTCTGATCCAATCTCTTCTCTTTTCACAGGAATCGGTTGCTACAAACCCAAAGCAAATGAGCACATCATCCTCAGGTTCAGCAGCTGGACCCAACAGTGATGATCAAGCTGACGTGTTGAGCAATAACATGTAGAAAACAATCAATCAATACATTCATTATATATAATTGTTTCATGTTTGCCATTTATGATTATCAAGTGTTGAGACCTGATGTGTGAGAATAAAAGAAACAGCAGCATCTAGTGGCAGTCAGGAGGAATGTCCTTTACAAATTATGATTTAGATATTTCTGTTGAATGGAAATATTTTGTTTGTGACTTCTCCTTTGAGTTAGTTATGATAAAATATGATGTTAGAGGTTGGTAAGGGGTTTTAGAAATAAATACAAGACCAACAACTGTTTTAGAAGAAATTCCAGGAAGTGTACTTCCAATCCGTATGAATGCAGAAAGGTAAATTAATGGAATTGTTTTTTAGCTTATACAACCTAAAGTTAAAAAAACCTATTACAAATTCGGGAAGTTTTAAAATGTTAGATTTCCAAAAAAAACCTACTCTGTCACAACTCAAGAAGGTGCTGGAATAAAACAAGAATAAAGATGAATATGCTGCATTGCTGAAACATGAATGAATTGTTTGCAATTGAGATTTGGGTGCTTTGACTTTAGATAGGGCAGATTTTTTTTAAAGTTTAAAATTAATCGTTTCATATTTAAACAATCTATGTAAAAAAACACCAACATTTTTATATTTTGGCAAATCTTTGCTACTTTCCACGTGGTTAAAACGTTGCACATAATCTACGAAAAAGGTATATAAACCACAACCTATAACATCAATTTGTTTACAAGTTCTCCACCGCTCTTGGTGTTGACTCTCCACGCAAAGCTCTTCCCTTTGTAACAAGATTAAGGTTTCATCTCCTTCCAAGACAGATGGACTGAGAGGCTAATCTCTGAGCTTTCACTTCCTTTCTCCTTGGATTTATCTGTATTTCATTCCTTTCTCTCTTCATAGAAACAAGTTAAAAAGAGCAAGTCAGATAACCATAGCTTGAGTTAGTTCAACCATCTAGAAAATGCTGTCCGAGCAACGTTATGATGTCACTTGTCTCCCCAAAATCAGCTTCCTATCTAAAATAAAACATCAACATCTGGCTCTCCAGGTTCAACTTTTTATTTAAGACAATATTGAATTCTATTTCAAATAAATATTTGACCCAAGTCTGACACAGCCTCTCAGAGACTGTTTTAAAAGTCACCCCACTTTCTTTTCATGACCCTTCTGCCACCTCACGTGACACAAATCGACTGAATTTAGCAGTTAGGCTTTGCTAATATTTCCTGACACGGAGGGATTTGAACATGAAATCTTTTAGTCGCGGTGTGAAATCCTTAAATAAAAACCAAGATGACATTTTTAGCTTCCGTGTGCCAGAGATAGAAAAGTAATGTCTCAAAAGATTTGGATTGAAGTCCTCTTATTTTCCACAAAATAGGATGAAGCAGCAAAAACATGCGTGGCTCTGCAGCGTACAAGCTGTCGTTGTGTTCACATTTTAAGCAATAATTAACCACGTGGAAGTGCATTGGCAGTGAGACAACATTGCAACATGGTCTCCTTATACAACAGTTCGTCCTTTATGTTTGACAGAGTGGCGGGGAAGCAACTCACCACATGACAAAGCACATTCACATATGCAAGGGACACACTGTGCAAAGAACCGCTTCCAGCCGGTCTCTTTGCCCCTGCAGTTGTCCAAGCGAGAGCAGCCCAGTTTTGGCGGGCCGAAGTAGCTCTTGTTCTCACAGGTGGAGTTACACGTCCCGTTTAGTTCCCTCTCACTGACCTCAACGCGTCCCTGCGCACACATTCCTGAAAGACAGAGGGAAATCACATGATGAGATCAATTCAAAAAAATAAGTAATAACGCTGATCACACAAATCCCTTCTTTGTAAAATCACATTCTATGAGATGAAATGGTAGATTTGAATATATGTAAATAATGTTCAGAGCTAAAACAAAGTCTGACAGAGTACAAAAGTATTTTCAATACAAGAATAAAAAAATTAAGCTTGCCTTACAAAGAGCTAAAGAAAAAAAGGGAATACAAATATGTGCTGTTGGGATTATATTATAGGACAATGCTAACACAAATATAATTCTTCTTAGACTTTCAAAAGAAGTATTTTTGAAGCTATTTTTTAGTTCGCCATTTTTTTTTTTATAAGGAGGTAGGACAGGCATATTTAAGAATGATGCTTCTGTCTGTGCCTTTTCACTCATATTGTAGCAAATAAATCCAGAATAAATTGAGACGCTAAGAGGCTAAACTTGGATTCAGAGCGGTGATGATATGTTCAAAATAAAAGTCTGTACTGAAGTTAAAGTTATACAAGGTTTAATAAAGAAAACAAAACAAACGATAACCAAGATTAAACCATATGGTCTACCCATAGACTACTTTAGGTCCATAAGGGTCCTTGTGTGTCCTTGAGTTCAGGTCAGAAGGATTTCATTGCCATTTCTACACTGTAGCTTTTTGCATATGACGATAAAACCTTTGATTCTTGTGTTTGGTGTTTACTCACTGAGGCAGGTAGGTCTCGGGGTCCAGAGGCCGTCAGACTGGCAGGTTCTGGTCGGGTTCCCCACCAGCATGAAGCCAGGGTGACAGGTGTACCTCAGCACAGAGCCCACCCACCAGTCGGTACCAAACACCTGTCCGTTATAGTCCACATCAGGCCTCCCACAGTTCACTGCCACGCAAAGCAAAGGACATGCAAAGGCAAAGCATGGCACACACTGCAAAAACTCGAAATCTTGCCAAGTATATTTGTCTGATATCTATGTCTTTACACCTGATTTAAGACATACTAACTTCAGAAGTAACACTGCAGTGAGACAACGCGTCATCTTGTTAAGTCAAAACATCCTATTTTGAGTTGTATCAAAGATGAAACACATATTTTTTGAAATATTTATCAGAAAATCACCAACTAACATCAGAAAACAGAACACCTTTGAGCATTTGCGGCTCATATTGTAACCAACATTTCCTGATTCTGGTCAAATATAGTTCAAAATGAGTTCTCCCAGCTAATTACAAGATCTGGTTTATCTAAATATCCCTTCTTATTTCAACATGTTCTCTTGCTCTATTGGCAGATTTCTGTACCTATTTAAAGTGAAAACAGCTTGTCTTCAATATTGTTTAATTTTTTTTTTGGAGCAGCATTTCTTCCAGTGTAGCAGCTCACTCCGACAGATGGACTCAAGCTCAAAAGAGTGCCGGACATTGTTGTGGTTTGCTCACCTCTGCACAGGGACTTGTATCCGAGCCAGCAGCAGCTCGAGTCTCCACAGCGGTCCTTCCTCAGCTCCGCGTGTTGAGCCTTACAGCCTCCTAAACAAAGAGGCGCTGACCCGGACCAATAGATGTCCTCTATGAAATCTGGTTGGGAAAGCCATACCGTCTCACCTACAGTAAAAAAAAACAAATGCATCAGCCGTTTACCATAGCTGGACCAAACTATGTTTTAATGCAAACCACAAACTGGAAATGATTTCAGGCTTTGCCACAAAGAGTTTTTATTTCTTATACAGAGAGAAAATCTATGAACCAGCAACATTATATCTGATCCCAATCATTTACTGAACAGCAAATATGTTTACCATAAAATCAGAGACACAGGGTCTCACGACTCAATACAGTTAGACTAAACCACTCATGTGTGCTCCAGTCAGTCTTAATCAAAGTGAAATCCCAGGTGAAATGTACGTCGAAGGGTCCTGAACATAGTGCCTTCAGTGATACTAATGTTATGTTAATGTATGTTTCCTTGCCTCTATGAGTCCTGGTTGATGTTGTGGAGCTGCTGTTATGCAAGGAAAAATTACTGACAATAAAGCATAATCGCAACGTAACCATTTATCCCGACTTAGATATCAGACCATGTTTGAAAAAGTAACATGATACTTGCATTAGAGGACATCTTACCACTACCTTCCATCTCACCAATCCACCCAGGAAACTGAGAAGTGGTTCTTTGAAAGACCCCGAACATCAGCAGCCACAGTGGAAACAGCCTCATGGTGCCCAGCTTCAAGGTGCTATCAGTTTCTGTAGAAAGGGTGCAGATGGATCTAATCTGAAGTCATATCGCTGTCCGGCATTATTCCTGCGAAGTCAGCAGACATGAAGCCATGAAAAGCTGTCCCAGAGTAGAGAGCGGAAAGTAACAAGTCAACTAAGCTCTGCTTAATCTTCTACACACAGCTAATGGGAACACACACACACACACACACACACACACACACACACACACACACACACACACACACACACACACACACACACACACAACTACTACTTACTTACGTATATAGTATATACTAACTACGTAA